TTTTAGACGGTAAAACCTTCACCTCAAATGAGGAGGTCAAAAACCTCCTCGATCAGTTTTTTGCCAGCAAAGACCAAAAATTTTATGAGCGTGGAATTATGCTACTACCAGAAAGATGGCAAAAGGTGTTGGACCAGAACGGTCAATATATAATTTAATAAAGTATTTGTTTATTATACGAAAACTGTCTTTCATTTCCACAAAAAAAAACGAAATTTCTTTCCGAACAACCCTATAGAATTGTATAGAGGAGGATGGGAAAAAGGGCGGAGGAACTATTTGGGGAAGATCAATCTGGGTTTAGAAGAAATAGAAGAACGCGGGAGGTCATTCTAGCTTTACAGGTAATAATAGAGAAAACGATAGAAAAAAGAAAGAGGGCGTACATAGGATTTGTAGATTTAGAAAAAGCTTTTGACAATGTTAAATGGGACAAGATGTTAAATATATTTAAAAATGTAGGGACGAGTTATAGAGATAGAAGAGCGACACTTAGTTTGTATAAAGAGCAACAGGCAGTTATAAAGCTGGAGCTGCAAGGTAGAAAAGTAAATATCAGGAAGGGAGTCAGATAGGGATGCACACTGTCACCGCTACTTAGTATCTGTTGTTGTACATCTGTAGATGTAATTATTTTTTAGCTGTAAATATACTTTGCTTCTTTTGGTCGGCCTTTTTTGTATCTGCGTTTGGTGAAATGGTTTTGGCTTCTACATTTGCAACCTGGTATTGGACTTACCATAAATCGCAACTTCCATTTTTCACAGTTACAGTGTCATTATTCAGAACACTTAGGTTCGTTCATATTTTAATACATATAATACAAGTAATTATAAACTCAAATACTATTTTAGGTACCATCTAGGCACTTTAGCATTTGGTTCACTGATAATAAGCGTTTGCCGAATTATAAGAGTGATTCTGGAATACATAGACTACCAATTAAAAAAGTATGATAATCCTGTTACAAGAGCAATTATGTGCTGTTTAAAGTGTTTCTTCTGGTGTTTAGAGAAATTCTTGAAATTTATAAACAGAAATGCGTATATTATGTGTGCCGTTTATGGGTACAACTTTTGTACCAGTGCGCGAAAGGCTTTCGGATTACTTATGAGGAATATTGTAAGAGTTGTGATTCTTGATAAAGTAAGCAACAATTACTCTTCTTTATTTCTCATTTCTATTAACTACAATCTTTTTAGGTGACAGATTTTCTATTTTTCTTAAGTAAACTGTTATTGAGTGCTGGAATTGGTTGCACATCGTATCTTTACTTCTTAAAGGAAGATGATAGCTCTCTAAATTATCCCTTAGTTCCCGTTATAACAATAGCAGTTGGAACATACTTTATTGCCACCCTCTTCTTTACCGTTTTTACTATGGCAGTTGACACAATCTTTTTGTGTTTCCGTAAGTACAATTATATTACAAAATTCTCTACTTTTATTATGATTTCATGCCAAGTCGTACCTTTTAACTTTTGAAATTTTTTTTTATTATTTGGTAACGATTGAAAGTAAAATGTAAACCTCACTTTTAGAACATAATCTTTAGATTACCTTTTTATGGATTACCATCTGAAGTAAAAAAAATAAATTTCTAAAGAATTGGTTCTCACGAGCGGTTTAAGTTTTTAAAGATAGCCAATACCCAAAAGCCAAAAACTGTACGATTTATTGACGTGAAATATTTTAATAGTTTTTCTGCAAAATTGAAGGGAACTTCTGTACCCATTTTTTAATTTTTTCATAATTTCCGAAACTGACCTTTTTCATATATCTATTTTCGGAAAAAATACTTTTTTTTGAGTTCTTTATAAATGCCTTTTAAAATAGTATCCAGATGTCCCATAAAAAAATCATTTTCCTCTTTTAATTAGCTTCCTGTTACCATTTTTTGAGAGAAAACATGCGGGTCAGTGTGTTATTCGTATGATGTACAGGTTTTTGAGACAAAACAAAGTTGTAAAATTATCATCAAACAATTAACTAATATATTTTATAGTTGAAGATTGTGAAAGAAACGATGGATCAAGAGAGAGGCCTTACTTCATGTCTAAACAACTAATGAAGATTTTTGGAGGAAAGAGGAAATAAATACGCATTTTTTTACACAATAAACTAAGAGTATTATTTTTATATACATGTATGTAAATGTAATTATATATGTAGGAATATGTATACATATTTCCATAGGTAAATAGGTATAGGGTATGTCCAGGAAGTACTCGGACTGGATTTAAAAGAAAACCGTTTACAATATCGGTACATCATGTGTAACTTATTGTTAATAGTGTTTTGCATGAACACAGTGACGGAAGACTCCTCAAATTCTGAAACTCAAATGAATTTTACAATTCCTTCGTAAAGACATCCTGCATGACTGAGCCGTGGTGCCCGTCTTTTCTCAACCAGTTTGAGTTGGGGTAAGAGAGAGCTTAGGGGGAGCTACATCTGGACTGATGGGTGGTTAAGAAAGTGTTTAAACGCGGTGTTTAGTAAAATAGCTCATGACAGCGAAGGGGGTGTGGTTCAGTGCATAGTCTTCGTGGAGCTGATATTCGCAGTATTTTAAACACTTATTCCTCAATTTGCGGTCCGAGTTCAAAATGTTTTTTCCTTTAAACAAGTTCTCGCCATTTTTAGTCGTTGATCTTCTTTAACTTGCTCCCTTTCCTCGCAAAATAAATAAATTGTACAAACCGAAAACGCTTTACCCACCTATGGATCTATGGCATCATCTCCGTAAGCACTTGATCCTTTCATGGGTTTTACTCGCAGTTCTATCGAGTTTCAAGCAAAATAACCACTGACTGCCCAAGAAAACATCTATTTTGCGAATAGGCTAGGAGGTGTTTGACAACTGGTGCGTTGCTTACTTAAAATCTTCCACCACCTGATCAGTCCAAAAACGTCCCCTAAGGCGCTCCGCCTGGCCGAGAAAAACTCAATCAATCCGCTTTCCAAATAGACCCTGCATTCATGTTGAATACGGAAACCTTTTCGTCATACAGTTGTCGAACATCGAAAAAAAAAAATAAACTAACGTAACCTGACCTGATCAAAATCCAACTATTGTAGATTAAATGTTAATATATCCAACGATAAATCATCGAAGTTTTTAATACGTATCTATATTTTGCATCGAGAAGACTAATGACTGCATTGTTCACAAATATGTATGTTCATTACTCTTCTGGTGAATAATAAAATTATTTTTTAATAATTCGTGCAATGATGAGAGAGTCAACTTATTAAAAGAGGGTAATGCTTCAATGAAGGGGGTTAGTTTGGTAGCAAGTGCAAATATACTGTGAAAATATTTACACTACCTATGTATTGTACCTATATTGTAATATTTGAATGAATTGTATATAACTTGTAAATTAATGTGAATAGTTGCTTTATAATAAAATAATAATACATTTTAAAAAAGTTGGACGAATTTAATAATGACGTAATTGTAAATATAATTTGGAGTGAACGAAGAGACCAACATTCGAAAATGAAATGCTGAACTATGATGCTGAAGAAGCATATCAACCAACGCCTCTCACGCCCCTCGCATCAGTGACAATAGGGTGCTGCAAACTTCACATGAGATCCGGGGGTATTACTTAACGTAACAAGTTGTAACAAGGGTGGAAGGGGGTCTAAAGAAAAGTGATGTTAGCAGTTCATCAATTTTATTTTAATTTTTCTGGTACAGCCGACGTGAAATGGATCGATCAAGATGAAGTGACTGGAAACTTCACAAATAAAAAAATAGGTACTTCAGTGTCAATTATACATATTTGTAGCTATTTAAAGGATCCTTAGGTTTCTGATAAATAAAGATTTTTTATTATTTTTGCTTATTTTAGATAGATATTTTCATCCTAGGTACAGTTGCCAAGTTATTTGATAAATTAATTTCGAATAAAATAGCCGCTATGTTATGTCACCTATTGGTTGAGGAGCAACAACTTCAGACGCTCCCAGATTTTGCCAGAGTTGGATTTAATTAGTCATAAATTTCTAATTAGGAATTGCGTCGAGTCGCTTTGAGGCATACTGCTGCTTGGATACGCTTCTATTTAACAGGACATAGACAGATCGTTTAGTTGGACAACTGTCTCATAATTCGTGCTTTAATGCACACAGTAGTCATTTTTAATGTCACGGCATCGTTGCTAATAATATTTTATTTTTATATTTTGGTTAAATTGACCGTTGACTTAAATAAATACATACCTAAGTATATAGTTATTTATTAAAATTAATATTATGGAAATAATAAATATTTTAAATTATTATTGTATGGTAATATTTGTTAGGGCAATTACAGGAAACTTGATGCAGTATGGTGGAAAGTGGGAAGGGGTCATAATAATTCACCTAAGTAGGGTGAATTTATTTGAAATTCGAAAAAGAATGAATTATGTATACAAATTTTTAACGTAGATGATTATACCACTATACACATAAAAGTGAGACAAATTCATTGAAATATAATGATTATTTCCTTAATAAATTGCACAGTGAGATAATTATTAGAAGTGTGAAACTCGAGTTGCACATATATTGCAATTAGGAAAATAATTAATTGAATGTACAATTTGCAATGGCTGACCTATAAGTCACCCAAAGAAGTTTACTTATTGTAAATGTGATATTTCATTTCAAAGTCATCTTCTCAGAATTCTTAAGTATTAATTTTGAAAATATTTTTATATCCTTTGGATTTATTTAAACTGCGTTGTTTCATAATAAGTATTAATTACACTTTTATAGCTTCACACCCTTATTATTGTTACAGTTGAATCTTCATTAGCAATATCATTTTCAGCAACATTTTCAATAAGTCCATTCTCATCAGCTAAATCTAAAATTTTACAAATAAGAGGTGATTCTACACCCAATATATATTCACAATATCTAGGTTCTAATAAATATAAAGAAACTGCACTTGTTTTAGCATTTTGTGAGCACTTCAGTTTGACTTCTGTTTGACGTGGTTTACCAGTCTTATCACATACATCTCCTCCAGAGTAAAAATGAGACAACTGTGTTCTCTGGCCTACTGGTTTTGGTTTTTTATGGGGATGTAAGGATAACCATTGCAGATGTTTGCTCTTATCAAAATAGCCCAATTTGATTGAAATTTTGCTGCCATCTTTATGTAAATGATACTGTTCTACTGATTTTCCATAACAAAATTCATAACTCCACCATCCAGTTCCACCGTTAAGACAAGTTTTTCCTGCTAAGAAACTTTCTACTGGTGAAACATCTAATGGAGTTTTGGAAGGAGTAGTTTCTTCTTTTCTGTTTAAATCAATTGGATGAAATTCAAGTCTTATTCTGTCCATATCAGCTTTTCTTCTAAATTTGTTGCTTTCAGCCTTTATCTTTAACAATTCTCTTGGTTTGGTAGGGCTATCATCTAAAGGCATACAGTCAATAGAATGTTCACCTGATTCTTGCGGTTTGTATTTTGGATGGGCACAAAGCAATGGAGACAATACAATTATTTCATAAACACAAGTGGAAATTTCTTTCAGTGAGTAAATTTCATGCTTTCCATGAGCATAGCACAGATATAAAACTTTGGTTTCTCTGGGCTTGTTTTGATTCAATTCACATAATGTCCCATTTCCCATTGTAATTTCAAAGTAAGGTAAACTCACCCCATCTACTTTTTTAACTGGAACTTTATCTATTTCTAAATTCTTCTGTTGTTCCAACAAAGTGCTATACTGGTTTTTCTCCCATTTTCCAAGAATATACTCCTGAATTTTTACCTTTTTTCCTTCTCTATCTTCATGATATTGACGAACAAATCTACCATGACAAACTTCATAGGTCCAGTATGATTCCAATCTAAAAGAGCAAGCAGTTTGAGTAAACAGTGGTGATATTAACTCTAAAGGCGTTGGACCATCGTAGCTATTGGATACATTCGGTTCTTTCTCTTGAATATGTGGCAGCATACATTTGTATTTTTCTTTTTGTGAAGAAGTCACTATCATGTACTCTAAATTGGCATACTCCGGCTTATTATTATCTTTAGACACCCAAGAAATATCGTACAATATCGAATCATCAAATCCTTCAATATTGTGACAAATAATGCAGCCAAACAGCAAAATGACCAAACCTGCACAATAATGCATATTTTTTTGTTCTTCCTTCTTGTAATTAGTAGACGAAACTTTTAGTTAATTAACTATATTGCAAAGCATTGCAAACATTTTCAGCTCAACTTTTCTTAATTTCCAATTATAAATAGGCAGGTACTTAACGTTTGCAAAGATTTGAGTTTTATCTCATCACGATAAACTTGACATTTACAAATATTATTACAAATGTTGATATTACAAATACTACTTATTAGCAATGTCTTTGTAGGTATCTAAAATACTAATAATTTATGTATTTTTACATTATCTAGAAATTTTCGAAAAGTTTTACTGAACCAATAAAACGCTCACACGTAATTACATATAATTACATTGTATTGGACCATACCACTTGGACGACTGACTAGGCCATAGATAAGCAGTGAACCATCAGAGAAACATGACTGAACCATAGATAATAGGATAGAACCACAGTCATAAAAATTTACTGAACCATTCTCTGGATATTTTTTTAATTATCTATCAGTGTCACGAGTATCGATTCCCTGTATTTTAATTTAATGAGCAGTTAATAGGTAGAGTTGTAGGTCTACATTAACTGCTAATACTTCAGCTTAATTTTAATTGTAGTTTATTAAATTATTAAAAATATTTATGTGAATAATATTTCTTGTTACAATTTACATATCACAGTTATCCCTAGCATCTTAGAGGAAAGATGGAAAAAAGTTAGCGTACAAACTTCTTAAATCGCAACTATATCAGTTATTTATGTATTTGAGCATATTTCATAATTCATAGTTGGGTAGTTGTAGATACTTAATAGCCTTTAATAATTACTGTCTTGTGTATAATTCCGGAATGCGGACAAGTAGCCACAACTCCAATCTTTTCTATGACTCTTATTGACAATTGATAAACAGCTGTCCCATACATAATCAGTGGGTATACATAGATCTATACAAGGTTAAAAACAATTAAGTGACAAGTGACGTTAAGAATATATTGCAAAATGTTAAAACAAATGACTCGTTTAATGAATATAATTAAACGGTTCTAAAAAATAACCAAATGAACTGTATTTTTTAAAATGTCTGGTGAGGAGGATTTGGATAAAAAGTTTCAAGAAGATTTAGAACGTGCTCAAGCATTAAGTTTAGAATCCCTAGCATTGGAACAATTTAGAAACAGAAAAAGACTCGAGAATGTTGATTTAAATTCCAGCCAAATAATAAATAAACCTTCAAGAAGTGTTTCTGGTATTGTAATGAGTAATGAATAAAAGCGTCTTGTTTTAAATTGCATTTGTTAGTTTGCAGATCAAGTTCCATTAATGAATCTGATTGCACTACTGTTATTGAGTATAAAATTAAATCTCGTCCTCGTCCAGAACCATTAAATAGTCAGTCATATTCGAATATTGTTCCACCTCCTCCAGTTCGCAGAAATAGCTCAGTAAATGAAAAAACTGCAGAACCAGATTTAATATCATTTACAAGCCCAAGTAAAGAGGACTTAAATTTTTTTGAGTGCACAGACAGGTACTGAATAACTTACTTTTGATTTATTAATGCTCTATTCATTTATCTAATTAAGCAACTGTTATTTTCCAAGTTTTCTTAATAATATGTAGTGGGTACATTGAGAAATATCCAATAGTTTGCTAGACGGTCTCTTTTAAAGTGTATCTATTGAGTATTGTTTCTATTGGAATTTAAGTATTCAGATATCCCCTATTAAGAAGTCTATTAAAAAAATTGGGGTCCCAGTGGCACAGTATTTCAATATGCTATTTATAAGTCATTAAGTAGATATCTATAAAATACTATCTAAAGCTGTGTAATAAAAGATAAGATTATTATATTTAAAAGTTCCTTTAAAATAGTTGAGAAGTATGTAGTTTATGTAAGGAGTTTTTGATAAGAGTATNACTTTCCAAAAAAAAAAATATTTCTAATGTTGTAAGTTAATGTTTTCGGTTTTATTATTTATTTAGTTATTTTATAAAAAATGTTTCTTTTCAAACAAATTAATTTAGGTATTTTAATTTTTAGTCCATCAACTAACCGACCTCCAGCTGAACTTCCAGTAAACATTCTAAGTAGTTTAATTTCACCTCAGTGGCAGATAGATAAGCCCTTTCTAGCATATAGTACATCTACATCAATCATTCCGCAAGCAAATGAAGCCATTTTGCAAACAACACCCTATTCTTTTATTACTCCTAAGCAGGAACCAACTAAACCTCCTATTCCTGGGTTTAATGTGCTATCATTGTACAACAGAAATGGTCAATCATCAACAGATAAGGTAATTTATAATTTTAGCAAAGTGTATCACACATTATTTGATAATATATAATAACCAGCGTTCGCCTGAGTTATAACACCTTCACACAAGGACTCATTGAGTTAATGGTCTTTAGAGAAAATATTTTTTTCTTAGAAGTATTTAATTGAAAATAAAGTTAAAAACTGGGGAACTGTTTCCCTCCCCAGTTTTCCAGTTGGGACTAGTGTCAATAAAAGTATGAAAATGACCCCTGTAGTAGTTTAGGAGTGATAAATTTTTAAAATGTTTTATGGACTTTTTCACTGTCCCTGATACTTTTAATAATTCATAACATTTAGGATTACTCTAATAGTTAAATGGTATTTTTGTAAAACTTGTTTAATTTTCTTATGAAGGTATCAATTAGATTTTGAAATAAAGCAGAGGAAAAAAAAATTAATTGAAAATTGGTGTGAAAGCGACGTTTTGTTTACCTGAGGCTTTGCTAGCCTCATCATACAAATTACTTACTGTGTCTAACGGTTGTCATGCGTAAGATTAATGTACTTGTTAGTGTAGTTTCTAATGTTTAATAGATTTTAGCTGATTTGTATTTTATCTTGGCCCTTTTTTGTTAGATGAATTTTTATGATTTTAATAAAAAATTTTTTTAGAAAAACTTATTAAATATACTGTTGTGGGGGTCATTTTTATATTCTTATGTACCGTAATCCTTTATCCTCTCAGTTCATGCAATATTTATATTTATGCTACCTGATTTATTCTAAGTAGTAATGTTTTTGATATTTTAAGGCACCTCCACTGCCTCCAAAAAACCATACTATGCCTCCACCTCCTCTCGTAGCTAAACCCCATAAAACTCAACCTGACAACAAGTCTTACTACATCTGTGATAATTTGATAGATTTTACACTTTCGGAACCAAATGATAAAAATAGTGTAAGAGTAAGCATTCTGGAAGACTTTGATCCGTTAATAAATAGTAAAGATTCAAATAAAGGCTCAAATTTTAAGATCCCCGAGGTATCTGGTAAGTGTTTGTAATGTTTGATACTAATTTTTAAATTCTAAACAAAAACTTGAGTCTCAGAAAGTATTAATAGGAATATAAAAGGGATACCCAAGTATTTTTATGGGCCATTTAGGATATCGATTTCTGACTGAGCTGAATTTACATGTTCTTGTTTTTTATTTTACCGATATTTAACAAATATTAAATGAGAAAATATTTCCATAATTATTTTAGTTTTGAAATGCAATTACAATTTTATTAATGAGTATAAATTGTAGATGATGACTTAGAGTCTATATATGCCAGTGTATACGACGAGTATGATCCCTACGACTTTATTAATTCAAGTTCTGGTAAGAACAGTACAAGTGATCCTCTATATGAAGCAGTTTTAAAATCGGAGTATGTTCCACCTTTATCACCTTCACCTCCGCTGATCTCGAGAATTATTTGTTCGACAATTGGGCACAGATCTCCACAAAAGGTCAATGCTTGTTTACATGTACATTTTATTTAAAATAAAAATATTTCTATTTTAGGCTGAAAAAATTTTACCATTGTATGAGAATATCACGGTTTTAGATAAACCAGTAATTAATCCCGATTTAATTGCTTTTCATAAGATGGTCAAACATCTTAGGGGTAATAAATAAATACGTTAGGTTTGTTCATTAAAAATATTTTTCCAATTAATGTAAATTACAGAGCAGTTTCACTATGATGATCCTGACACTAATATGGGTCTGATTGTAAGCCCAATGATGCACAGACGTTATAAAGAAGGCACAAGTATTAAAGTAGTAATTCATCCCCAGTATGAAAATGCCGACTTCAATCAACCCGTTAGCTTTACTTGTAACGGTATTATTGAATTATTAAGTATTTTTGTATTTTATATGTTAATTATTTATAAGACTAGCGTGGATGAGCAATGGCAATTAGCCCGTCTGATATTTAATTAAGGCTTAATTAATATAAAATGAAATTTCTGTTGTTAAAAAATAGGTATTAGTTTTGTAATTGTAAACGTTGTAGTTAGGTTTCTTAGAGCAAAGGTGTTATTACCATTCGTAGATTTTGTACTAAATGAAATCATGACAACAAAATCTAAAGAACACGACATAATTGAAATAATGTTTATCTATTTGAGATGGTACGAAATATTTTTAAATTTATTAGTACAGCTGTATCTAACTGATGTGATACATCAAAATTGGTGTAGTAAATGAGATAAAATTAATGGATTTAGGTCTTTGGTTTTTGTATTTAAAGGGGCTAATTTAATTGCTAATCTACCCCAGTCTGTTGGTTCAATATTTTTAACAGTTGGTTTTTAAATAAATCAAAAAGAAGCTATTTGGTTACTACAAAGCTTTTCATTGTGGACGGGTGTTTTACCCACTTGTAATGTGAGCGTCTTGCACATTAGAAGCAGGCGAAACATGTGTTCAAAATGAACAGGTTTTGTAATAACTAGAGTGAGTTTTTGGTTTATTTATTCCTCTAGCACAATCTCAATTTCTTTTTTGCTTTTTAATTTTAATATTTTTTCTTTTAATACTATTTCTTACAGTTACCTGTAGTATAGAACATATAACTCAACACGTTGTATGCGAATTAGACGCTCCTTTGGATGACCAGTATACATTAAAAGTATGGGGTTACAATGAGTATTTAGTGCCTACTACACTACTTTCTGACTACGAGTATGTTCATAATTGTCTAAAGTTAGAAGAAGATGTACTGCTAATATTAATTCCCGATAAGCTTATTGATAGATCTTTGGCCAGGACTGTGAGTCATGTTTTAAATTATATAATCCTTAATGATAAACACTATAAAATTATGGCACTTTTATTGCTAAATAATTTAATTTTAAGATTCAAGATGATAAACGTGATAAAGAATTGAATTTAGATGACTTGGTGTTGACTGATATAAGTTCTGTGATAAATAACAACCAATTAAAAATTNGGTTTTAGATAAACCAGTAATTAATCCCGATTTAATTGCTTTTCATAAGATGGTCAAACATCTTAGGGGTAATAAATAAATACGTTAGGTTTGTTCATTAAAAATATTTTTCCAATTAATGTAAATTACAGAGCAGTTTCACTATGATGATCCTGACACTAATATGGGTCTGATTGTAAGCCCAATGATGCACAGACGTTATAAAGAAGGCACAAGTATTAAAGTAGTAATTCATCCCCAGTATGAAAATGCCGACTTCAATCAACCCGTTAGCTTTACTTGTAACGGTATTATTGAATTATTAAGTATTTTTGTATTTTATATGTTAATTATTTATAAGACTAGCGTGGATGAGCAATGGCAATTAGCCCGTCTGATATTTAATTAAGGCTTAATTAATATAAAATGAAATTTCTGTTGTTAAAAAATAGGTATTAGTTTTGTAATTGTAAACGTTGTAGTTAGGTTTCTTAGAGCAAAGGTGTTATTACCATTCGTAGATTTTGTACTAAATGAAATCATGACAACAAAATCTAAAGAACACGACATAATTGAAATAATGTTTATCTATTTGAGATGGTACGAAATATTTTTAAATTTATTAGTACAGCTGTATCTAACTGATGTGATACATCAAAATTGGTGTAGTAAATGAGATAAAATTAATGGATTTAAGTCTTTGGTTTTTGTATTTAAAGGGTCTAATTTAATTGCTAATCTACCCCAGTCTGTTGGTTCAATATTTATAACAATTGGTTTTTAAATAAACCAAAAAGAAGCTATTTGGTTACTACAAAGCCTACTCATCGTGGACGGGTGTTTTACCCACTTGTAATGTGAGCGTCTTGCGCATTAGAAGCAGGCGAAACATGTGTTCAAAATGAACAGCTTTTGTGATAACTAGAGTGAGTTTTTGGTTTATTTATTCCTCTAGCACAATCTCATTTTTTTTTTGCTTTTTAATTTTAACATTTTTTCCTATTTAATATCTTTTAATACTATTTCTTACAGTTACCTGTAGTATAGAACATATAACTCAACACGTTGTATGCGAATTAGACGCTCCTTTAGATGACCAGTATACATTGAAAGTATGGGGTTACAATGAGTATTTAGTGCCTACTACACTACTTTCTGACTACGAGTATGTTCATAATTGTCTAAAGTTAGAAGAAGATGTACTGCTAATATTAATTCCCGATAAGCTTATTGATAGATCTTTGGCCAGGACTGTGAGTCATGTTTTAAATTATATAATCCTTAATGATAAACACTATAAAATTATGGCACTTTTATTGCTAAATAATTTAATTTTAAGATTCAAGATGATAAACGTGATAAAGAATTGAATTTAGATGACTTGGTGTTGACTGATATAAGTTCTGTGATAAATAACAACCAATTAAAAATTTTGTTGGGTACGTATTAAGAAAAATGGAGAAGTTTCTTTTTTACAGCAATGCTTATTGTAGAAACATTGGAAAAGGAAATTTCAAAATTAGAATTATACATAACAGAGGGTAGTACGAGTGAAAGAGGTGGTTTGGTGAGAGAATCCCAGTTATCAGGCGTTGTTCAAACTGTTAAACTAATCTCAAATATAATAGGGAATTTAGAAACTATTGAAGTAACTCAAGCGTTGGACGAGTTGAAAAATTTAAACAATAATTTGTCTTATGTGGGTCAGGTATGTACAAAAATTTGTAAAAGAGAATTTTATGTAAATATATATTGTTGTGAATATCTTAGGAAATGGTATTTGCTTAAACTGTGAATCGCCTTCTGTTCTACTTTTTCCAATAGTTTCTCATTTCTAACCTTTTCTATCCACGGTATTTTCTACATTCTTTTATAATACTACATTTCAAATACTTGTAACTTCTTGTTATTTATTTATCTTCGTGCTCATTTCTTGGGTAACATCGATATTTATTGTGGGTTACATGTACTTCACAGCCCGCCTCTTAGACACCCGTGTTTCAAAGCATAAAATACATATTACTAATAATAAGACAGAAAGAAAATTTGGCTTAAGAAATTATTTATATATAACTCTTAAATAAACAGAAAATGACAGAAAAAATTATTAGTCTGAAGGAACTCTTAAAGTGCAATTTCGCTGTCCGTTTGTTCGTTACATTAAGTTATAGAACTTGTCTGTATTTATTTTACATTTTAATTTTTGTATTAAAATGGGTTGTTGAAATGTGATCCTGTGATAACAGATTTGTGGGGAGTATTATATGAACATGCTTTGCTTACTTGTTCCTAATCATTTACTTACGATTAGTTAATTTTAACTCTTCATACTTAGCAAATTAACTTTTTATAAAACGTGAATCTCAGTGCGCAAGTCAGGCTTTAATTTGCTTACGTTTTTTTTTTGTAGTAAATAAATATGTTGTAGAAATGATTTTAATATTATATTTTAGGAGGTAGTTTGTTATATGTGCGAATTTTAATATCCAAATGAAAATAATGTTTATGTAATTTTAGAATTTAAATGGTAT